GGGCGGGTTGTCAGGGAGTCAAACGGGTGAGAGGATTGGGAAGTAGAAGGGTGCTGCGAGAGTGGGCTGAGTGAAGGACGGGCACATAGACAACGTGAAAGGCATATTTTGGTCTTGAAAAGAAACGGAAGAGGTGCTGTGGAGACAAGTTGGGGACTCACGGAGAAAACAAAGTAGATAGGCAGACGACCAGACTTGATGCAGCTGCTGCCAGATTGCCCTCCGGTGGTGGACATAACAAACGCAGCAACGCAGCAGCAGCAGCAGCAGCAGCAGTCGCAGACGGCGAAGGTGCAGTTGAGGAGAAAGACGGATGGAGATCAGGTGTGATGTGCAGCGACAGCAGGCTGGCTTGCCTATTGGCGCACTTGGGAGAGTGCTGGCTGAACAGCAGCTGAGCAGTGAACTCCCCAAACAAATCGTGAGGGGCGCGAAGTACTGAGACTGGTGGACGAACACGCTGCTGACGCGGATAAAGTCCACCAGGAGCTTGCTCTCCCTGTCCCCTCCTGCAAAATGCCCCACTCTCAAAGTCTGTCCCCTGATCTTGAGCCCGTGGGCTTTGAGCTCCGAGAGAAAGAGGTCTACATCGTCGCTCCACACCTGCAGCTCTGGCACCCACACTGGCTCTTCAAACGTGTTCCTCGCATTGTCAAACTGCTCGCTGCACTACTACTGCCACTCCTGCCAAAGCCACTGGCAGCACCACCACCACCACCACCACCACCAGTACTGCTGCTGCGTCGGCTGGCAGTAAGAGCCTCAGAAGCATCGTAGAAGCGGTCAGGCGGGGGGGAGTGGAGGGAGGAGGCATGCGGGACTGGGCGGAGTGGAAGGCAGGAGAGTCAGCGGTGATTGGTGATAGGGTGGCGAGAGGAGGGTCGGTGCAACGAGGGCTGGAGTGCTGGGAGCTGGAGGGAGGCGGGCAGACGTTGATGAGGCTCTCCTCTGGTACGGGCAACAAGAGATCGAAGTCCTGATGTAGGTGGTGGGAGGGTGCAGGGAAAGAGAGGGAACAAGTGAGTCCAGCATTTCTGAAAAAGACCGCAGGCAGTCAGGAAAGAAGTTATAGGGATGTAAACGGGTGCTAAGGCTCTCAAACGACTCCATCTGCATCCCATCCAAGTGAACAGCCACTGTGGTTCCATCCCGTAGCTAAAAACAAATTTCCTGGGAGCACAACCCTTCCTGCTACTCACGTGCAGCAGGATGTTGACCATGAGCCACGAATCTGGCTGCAGGCTGGCAGGCCCGAGCGCACACCCCGGCTTCTGAAAGTACCCAGCCACAACCTCCAGAAACTCCCACACTAGAGACAGGTCCGTGTAGAAGGGCACACGATGCTGGTGCGCAACACCACCTGCGCTCAAACACCACCTGCACGCCCGTCGTGCCCTTGCTTCATCACCACGTTCACCAGAAACGACCTGTCCAGGTCGCACCCAAGCCCTTGTCGGACTCGCCTCCCAGAGGGTGGTTGGGGTGTGGAGAGGCGGGTGGATGTGGAAGCTGAGGTGGGGGATGGCTTGGCACGCGAGCTGTTGGTCTCCACAAGGGCCAGCTGGAGATGGGAAAAGGGGGCATCAAGAAAAGAGTGGGGGGGGAAGAGGAGGGGAGGGGGGGGGGGGGGGGGATTGTGGGGGTGGAGAAAGAGGGGGGTGGGGAGAGCAGTAAGGAAACATAATATATAGAAAACTGGTTGTCTGAGAGTGGATGTGGGTGGAGGGGAGAGCGCGACGACTGGTAGGATGAAGAGAAGTGCAACAGGTGAAACTGATAGATAGAGGGAGTGTGCGAACCTCCGACTGGGAGAATTTGAGGAAGCGGTCGTCCACCAAGAGCAGGCGAAACGCCTTCACTGTCACTTGCGAGAACTGGAGAGCAAGCCAGCCACGCAGGAGGCAGGGGGGTGAGGGGAGTGGGATGGGGCAGAAAGCAGCAGGATAAGTTGGAGAGGAAGAAAAAAAAACAGAGTGCAGAAGGATGAGAAAATGGAACGCAGGTAGAAAAGAAAGGTGGCATTTTCTTTGAGTGTCTTGCAAGAGGCGCCAAAGCGTGCCAAATAGATGGAAGAGGAGGCCACGCAGAAGAGTTTGGCTCGGGGTAGTTGGAAATTGGAAGGGAAAGGAGGCAGGCTCACATCAGTGTAGTCGGAGTAGACAATGGTGAGGCGGTGCGCTCTCAAGGACAAAAGGGGGTCGCCGAAGCTGGTTGATTGGGGGTACACAGGTGACAGGGGTAGTTGGTTGGTTGGCGAAGAGAAAAGAAAGAAGCAGGTTTTTTTAAAAAACAGATAGCACGGGAGGGAGAGCTCATCCATAGTTGTAAAAACAGGGACACCATAACGAATGTTTCCCATACACGCACCCGTTCTCAACCAGAGTGGCTGGGTGCTCCATCTCGGCGTGGATGACAGCGCGGCCAAAGTCCAGCTGAATCTCCAAGCCGGGGGTGAGCCCTGCCAGGCTGATGCAGGGGTCTGGAGGAGCAGCCTCGCCGCCCAAGGGCCGACCCACCTGCGGGTTGTGCACCTGGTCGTCTGATGGGGGGACGAGGGGAGGTAAGGTCGGCATGGGCATGGGCATGGGCATGGGGTACGATGGAAAGCGACAAGAACCAGGGTGATTCCATAATCAGCAGGTTGTGCACCTGGTTATCCGCCAGGGGTTTGGTTGGCATGGCATGGCATGGAATGTAAGGTGGACTGTGGAACATGACAAGGGTCGGATAGATTGCTGGGAGGAGAAGAAAATATGTCCAGGTACGGATGAGTGGTATGGCTCGCTGTGCACAGTGCCCATGTGCCCATGTGCCCATGTGCCCACACTACTACGGTATTAACTACCTGTGCATGCACAGTGGTATTAACTACCCATGTTCCTGCCTGCAGCAGTGTGCCAAAGCCTACCTGTGAAGGAGCAGCCCTCTGCGAGGTTCTGGAAGATGAGGGTCATGATGGCGTTGTACTGAGTGGGGCCCAGACGGATCTCCACCTGAGGCCAGTGCACGTGCACTCGTGATGGATTGGACTGGCAGGGAATGGGGACAGAGAGTGGAAAGAGGGCACCAAGGTGAAAAGAGAGAAGACAGGAATGAAATCGTGAGTACTCAGTGGATGGGAAGGAGAGCGAGTGGAGAGCGGGCAGAGAGCAGAGAGGTGCATCGTGACAATAGGTTGTAGTATCAGTAAACCCCATACCCGCATTGGGAAACCCAATTCCAGACCACTCAAGCCGTACCTGCACGGAGATGAAGACACCACTCTCAGAGATGATGTTCCGCTCCACCTTGGGGGTGATGGTCTGTTGAGAGGGGGGACAAGCAGGCATGGCAGGGAGTGGGGCGAGTGAACGCACAGGGATGAGAAGGCAAGGATCAGGAGAAGGGGGGAGGGGGCACAGATGGTAAGAAGAACAGCTGCATACACAGGGCGTCTGCTATTCCAAGAGAGAAGTTCACATCAAAGCAGCTGGGCATTGATGCAGAGGGGCATGCATGCACCCATTAGCTGGATCAGCACAACCACATACGGTTGCCTTGAAGAGATTACAATGGAGTGACCGTCACAGGATCTGACCTTAGAAGGAGACCAGTAGGCCCCAAAGCGGGAGAGCTGAATGCCAACGGAGTCGGGGCAGGAGGGGGGGGAGCGGTCCAGAGCATCCACCAGCGGCTTCCAGAAGGAGGGGTCCTGAGGGCGGATGCCTGTCGCAAGTCTGCAACGACGGTAACAAGGTGGGTTGATGGGAAAAAAGGGAAAAAAATGAAGGTGAGTGCATGCATTGGTGGTGTGGTGCATTGCATGGACGTGCGTGGTATTCGTGCGGTGAGCGTTGGGCCAGAGACACAGAAGGGAAAACAAATGACTCTACCTGATTGCACCAGTGCAGTCAAACGAAGCATGCACCTGAGCAGTGTGTGCTGGGACAGGCGCTGAGAAGCCGGAGTGGGAACGATGAGGTTGATGGTCTCCACTCGCACATCCAGAGACTCCTCGCTCCACGACGACCTGACATGGGGGAGATAGGTGGAGAGGAGAGGAGCGGAGACACATGTGCCGCAACCAGCAGAGTTTAGCAGAGATACAGGAGGAACAGGGCACCACACTAGTACAAAGCAAGCCAGTATCACTTACACTGGGAGGCAGAGCGACAGGTCAGAGATGTGCAGGAACACCAGTGGGGGTGCATCACCTCCCTCGGAATCCCCAGCTGCTTTACCCTCCCCTTGCTTTGACCGCTCCCTCTTGGCATCCTGGCCCTTGGCTGAGCCGCGGATTTCTTTAGATGCACCGGATGCCTGTGGCAGATCAGTGCGAGCAAGTCAGAAGGGGGTGTCAGAGACAAAAGGAGACGGTTTCACATGTGTTGGCACATACGCAGTGAGGTGGCAGCTGGTTTCCACCAGATGCATGCACTACCTTGGACAGGGTAAGCCAGCAGCACATGTGGATGGCAAATAGATTAGAAGCTGTACCTTGATTTGGAGAGAAGTAAAAGGCTTCTGTGGGTGGGCTGCATACCTGGGGAGGTGAGAAGATGGGGGCCATGCGCTCCACGAAGAGAGCAAAGTCGTTGAAGAAGCGGAAGATGGCAGTTATCCTTGTCTGCTGGCTCTCCACGAACACACACACCTGCCGGCTCACATAGGGTGACCGCGGAGTGGGGAGAAGTTAGTAGTGGTGGACCGTGAGGGAAGAACATGTTGGGGCTCCCCACCAGGGGGGCGCACGCATTAATCGTGAATGGCAGCGAGTGTGAGAACATGATATTTAGTGTATCAGATCAGTACAGCATCGTGTCACACCCTCTTGCCATACCTGAGGCTTGGCAGGTAGGTTGGGCCCTCGTAGCACCATGTTCTGCCGAACAACGAGGTTAAGGCTTGGAAGGTCTCCGTTGGGCTCAAAGATGTGAGCGTAGTGCCTGGTGACGAAGGTGAGTCGGGAAAAAAATCCCAAGGATGGACATGCACCAGAGGAGGGATGGTTACAGTTACAGAGAAAGAATCAGTGAAGCAGTGGTGAAGCCTGCAGCTCGGATCGGTGAAGCCTGCACCTCGGATCGGACCGAGATACAGAGAATGCGGTGCCGGACCGGACACATCAGACATCGGGACTGGGGCAGTGTGTTAAGTTGGGTGGACTCACTTGGAGTTGGCGAGCATGTCAACCACATCCAGATCGCCAACTGTGAGATCCACATCCACTGCGTCTGGCTGCGAGGTCAAATCCACCTTCACTCTCTGCATGATGACGCTGCCAAAGGATACCCCTTCTATGGACATGATCACCATTCCACATCCCAGCTCAGCCTGCAGCTTCCACACTTCACTCGTTGCATCGCTTCCTGCTACCTCTCCCTCCCCACTGCTTCCCTGCCAACCCCTCCGCCTCTCCCTCCACCCACTCATTGAATACACACGGCAACCTTCACCTCTCCCGTCCTTTTCTCCACCATCCCTACTCCTTCCTCGCGTTCTCATCTCACGCATGCCCTCCCGTGGCGCTCCATGAGAGTGCCATTCAGAACTCGGACCTAAGATGTCCAGAGGACTATCATCCAGAGACACTCTCTTTCCACCCCTCTCATTATCCTCGTCAGAATCCGTGTCTGCCTCGCTTCCGTCAACAGGCAGCTCTCCAATGCTCAACCGCTTCCCACCCCCAGTCCTCCGCACGCGAGGCCCGAACTCGGAACCATCTGCTTTTCCACCCCCCACACGCTTCCCAGACCACCTCTCACCACCTTGTGCCTCCTCCTTCTCATCTTCGCTTTCCACGTCGTCCTCCGCGGCATCTCTAAAAGACACACGAGACCGGCCAGACGAAGAATTCAGGCGGCTGGAGGGTAAAGAAGTGGGTGTGGGCTCGCCCCACGAGCCCTCTCCACTTCGCTGCTTCCAAAAGTCAGCATCTGGCGAGCTTGGGGATTTGAGGCACCCGGTGGAGCAGAGGTGGTCCGAGAGATAGCGGCTTGAAGGTGAGTGAGGAAGGTGAGGACCGCGGAGAGGTTATTGGTGTCACTGCAGGACAAGGATGAGAGAGAACAAGTGAGATGAAAGAGGGAGAGGATGAATTGGATGTGGAAGAAGGAAGCAACATCGTCTACAGCTGGAGGTTCAAGTTGGAGGTCGAAAATTGGCTGTTTCAGGGGTGGAAAAGGGATGTACCAGGAGAATGGGAGGAGGGCGACTTTCACAGCCACCTGATGCAATGTTCCTGCCTCCTGCAGCTGAACAGCAACCTGCCGAGCAGAGCAGCCAAGTAGAACAGCCATTCACCCGTGCACACACACAGAGGACGAGTGTAATGTCAATGGAGACATTGCTCATGTCTATCAGGAAGCACAACGAACACAACCAACGTGCACTAACACGAATTCCCGTGATTCCCAGCACTGAGCTGCAGCCTACAGGCAATGAACCCTGCTGCACTGCACTGCACCTGAGCCTTGGCCCGCTGGAGCGACTCGTAGGCAGCAAATATGGCTTCATCGCTGTAACCCCTCGCCACCACTGTCTGAAGGCGCCATCGGTAGAACACCTGGGTTTGATGTCGGAGGGGAAGGAACAACAGTGAGGTTTAAGAGAATAGCAACAGCGCAGTGGTCCGGATGGGGGAAGGAACTTATTTTTTTACAAATCGACATGCATGTGGAGTCGGATCAAACGTAGAAAATTATGTTCTGTTCATATGGCAAGCTGAGGTGGGTCCAGCAGTATTGGAACTGACCCGTGCTATCATGACCTTGCCAGGAGGAAACAGATCCCGCACCATCGCGATCTGCAAAGAAAAGGGAAGGAAGTGTTAGCGGATGGGGAGAGGAGGAAATGAGGGGAAGGATGCTGAAACGAAGGAGAAAGGAGTGAGGGAGCGTCAGAGAGGTAGAGAGAGGTGATGTGTAAAGTGAAGGTTGGGAGGAGGGGTGGGTGGGGGAGGAGGGGGGACAGAGGGAGAGAGATAAAACTTACAGGAGGGAGGATACGACCACTGGAGAGTCCTCTGAGTAGCAATAGGAGAGATAACTGGTTTGGGAGGACAAAGGTTGTTGATGGAGGAAGAAAGGACATGAGAAGTGAGATTTGGAAGGACAAGTAGCGATTTCTGAGGTTACAAGATGGATATGGCAAAAATTCACGAAGCCCAAAAGGCAGGCGGAGTACACCTGAGGTGCTCTGACAACTACTTACCTTATCATTGTGCTGCTCTGCCTCCACTCGAATCTTGTCCAGCCTCACTCGGAACACCACCACCACTGGCTCACGGGGCTGGCCTTCCACAGCAGAACCCCCAGCAGCAGCAGAAGGAGAGGCAGCAGCAGCAGGTGGAGGAACTGATTTGGAAGTGCTGGGGGGGCATCCTTGCATGTCCTCCGCGGTGGAGACGAGTACCACAGCGGTGTCAGACGAGGGCACCCACTGGCGGCAGCGGCACACGCCGTACGGGCAGTCAGCCTTGCTGTGCGGCACCATCTCCTGACACGCCTCCACCAGGAAGCCACCTCCCTGCAGACAGGCGGAAATGATGTGAGTGAGAGGGTGGGGGGTGTAGGTGGGAGAGCGAGGGTAAGAAGAAGGGAGTGTGTGGGTTTGGGGAGAACTGATGCGAAACGGGGAGGAGCGAGAGTTGGCAACCAAACAAGCTACGGCTGAGATTGAAAGGAGAGTCGAGCTGTCGCATACTGCGAGAGAGATGCGTGTACCTTTAAGGAGAACCTCCAACCCAGCTGGTGTGCTCCAGGTGTAACAGGTGGGGGTGGGTGGCGGTTCCTTGCTGGTTGAGGAGAGGTCTCCGGTGCTTGCAAAGGTCTCGTCTAAACTGCAAGAGGAAAGTGGGAAGGTGCAGAGGGGTGACGAGGACAGGATAGGCGTGATGGAAAGTGTGTTACGAAGTGGGCTTTCCAGGTGTGCTGAGGAGTGTGCTGAAAGTGGGCTGATGCGCCTGAAACGTGTGTGTCTTGCATTACTGGCTACTGGATCGTGCAATGCAAAGGCCAAAGTCGGTTGCTTTACGTCGTGCACGAGGCGGGACACCTCCTTGGCAATGAGCGGGGAGAGCTGAACCGATGAAGACTGACGTGACCACCTCCACACTCAGCAGCTGCACAGTTGAAGGCAGATAAGGGCAACTTGCAAGCACATGTGAGAAAATGAGAGAGGAAGGTAGGATGGACGAGCGAAAGAAAGAGCTGAAGGAAAACCAGGAGTGAGCGGAAAAGGTATGATCTGGAGGAGGGGCCTTACGGTGGTTGCGGTTTCTCGAATAGGTTCAGTGCAGCGACAAACGGATGCACTGACTGACACTGACTTTAAGAAGTCCACCCTGCAATGAAAAAGGAGGGCATGTATCGTGTCGTATGGATGGATGGATGTCATATATGCATACACAAACCAACAGTGTGCGTGCGAGGCGCCAAGCACCCAAGCATGAACCACGCACAACATTGATCTGAGACATAAAATCTCATGTATGATCCACATGAAGGCAACCAATGTAATCATGTGAACCAAAAAAACGTTTTAGCTTCAGGCAATCATTACCTTTCCCGCAAATCTGCAACATTGGAGAGAGAAGCACGGGTCAAGTAAGCCTCCATTGTGAGTTCCACCTTGACCTGCTCCAGTGAGTTGGGCGGCAGTGGGCCCACATGCTGCCGCTGCATCCATCCCTTGTGCGATGCCATGGACGCCACCACCTTGCGCCACGTGGCAGCTAGGGATTGGTCGCTGGACGACGCTGCTGATACTGAGGTATCATCCTGCTTCAGAAGAATGGAACTGAAAATCAAGACATAAGAAGGAGAGAGGAAAAAGGGACAGAGTTAGATCAGGTGACTGCTTCTCCACAAAGGGGCAGTGAAAGCTGAAGCGGAAGGATCATGAACCACGCAACAAGGAGGAGGATCCAAACTAGTTTGCGCGATTATCACCTTTCAGTCGGCCTTGTGTCCAGAACGATCTCTGAGAGGTATATCACCAGCAGGGGCGTGGTCAGTGCTGCAGGCCTCCTTCTCTGTGCTCCTCCTGTTCCCTGGTTTTGCCACGCTTGAGCCATCTTTCTGCTGCTGTGTCTGTGGCCGCTGTTGTTTGGCGGTGATGCTGATGATGCCGCTGTGGCTGTGATGGTGGTGCTTGGTGGTCCATCCCCATGCCAAAGAATGCCTGAAAGTCGCCGTCACCTCCTGCTGACGGCACCGATGAGCGCTGAGGGCGGCCGATGCTGATGCCGATGCGGATGATGATGGATGAGGCATGACGCCCCTGTCAGAGGAGGCAACGGACAGTGCCACGGGTTGGAATTGTAATGAACGCGCATCAGAAAGGAGTCAAACCATGCTGGTGCAATGAAGCTGTGAAAGACCAGCACGAGCACTTCGCAATTCAAAATTGCTTAATTTCAAAATTCAACTTCACACTCACAATGTCACGGCAAGGGATGATGAAGAGTATGCTGCCAACCCGGGCGGCGACCTCTGGCAGGTTATCCCTGACATGCTGCACTCGCTTCCTCGCCATGTGCTGCCCAAACTCTTTCACGTAATCCTGCAGATCCGTGAACGGAGCCAGGTTCAGCAACGCCGCACCACCATCACTGATACCATGGTTCTGTCCCGTGCCACCACCAGGTGTGTCTGGAGGGCGCCTCTCAGCAGCACTAGTAGCAGCACCGTTGCTCCTGAAATCCAGGCCTGCAGAGTCTCCCCTTCTGTGGTACAGGTAGTGCTGCTGCTTGGTGATATCCGGCATCCACTCACTGTCACCTGAACCACCAGCTGCGTCCCTCATTGCCATCTCCCCACCTCTTCCCCCTGCTCCTTCTCCAGCCCATCCTTTTCCTCCACCAGCTCCAACCTGAGCACGGCTAGTCACAGCCTTCCCAGCCTGTGAGGCCAAGTGGCCTGGCACTCTGCCTTTGCTGGCCGCAATTGGCTGCGAGTGGGTCGAGGGAGACGAGGAGAGAAGCTGCATGAGCTGAAAAGCCATCGGCGGTCGAAGAAGACTCGAAGGGGAGACATGTGCGCCTCCACTCGAGTATGCAGCCGCTGCAACTCGTCCTCGCCCCACCCGAGCTCTAACACGCCCAGTTCACGCTCCCCTTTCCACTTCGCCTCGCCATGTTCTCCTGTACTTCTCCTGCTTCTCTCCGTCGTCTGATGTGTTGGCTGCTCCCTCTCCTCCACCCCTTCCGCTGGATCCTTCAGATCCTGCTGCTGCTGCCCCTCTCCTGGTGTCTGCACAGCTTTTCTGGCTCTGCTGCAATGACTTTGCGTACTTGTCGGACCGGATTGACCGGAGAAACTGGAGGAAACGGCCTGATCTTGGCTTTTTGAGCTCTGAGGGGAAGGAGAGATGCCACATGCCGACCAGACAGGTGGGCAGCTGGCAGGGACGGGGCTGAGAGCCGTACCTCTGGACAAAACAGACCGCCAAGAAGGGAGTGGGTGTGGAGCCCGAGGAAAAGGAGGAAGATGCAGCAGCCCCAGCTGCTGCAGCAGGCACAGCAGCACCCCTTAGAGGGGAAGGGTGCATTGGGGAAGGTTGACTTGAGCCAGGCATGGAAGCTGATGCGGACGAGGGATGAGGCGCAACGGAAGGTGTGGAGGCTGTGGAGGAAGGCAAGGAGAGGACTGGGAGAAGCTGAGAGACTGCACGATGTTCCCTACTAACTCGCTCTCAGGGACGTAGAAGTTCCGTACCAAAAGCTCCCTGCATGACACCTCAGCATGAAGAGAACCCCTCTCTGTGAACCTCAGCGCCACCTCATGCAGCGACACCTCAGCACCCCAATCGAGGTCTGACGCTGATGTCAGCAAGACGCACAGCTTGGGGCAGGTAAACCTGCTGCTGACCTCGAGGACTGGCTTATTTGCCTGAGGCTCAGGAACAGAGCCACCAGAAAGCAAATAGTTCAGATCCTGGAGTTTGTTTCTCACGTTGGCCATGTGCTGATCCCATGCGGGCTCACTGCGGGACAACCCCTCGGATTCTGCTGCCAGCGCCACTCTGAACCGCACAAGCGCACAGTTGAACGTGCCAAGCTGCTGCTCCAGCTGTTGCAGGCACGTCTGAGCGGACGCCACGGACCAGCAGCGCCCTGCAACGAAGTCGCTGTACTGCTTCTCGTACTGCAGGCGCAGGGTGGCTTGGAGGGATTGCGACAGCCCTGTCAGCTCAAACGTCCATTGCCGCTGCTCGCAGATCTCGTGCCACGCTTCCAATGGCATGCCGCCACCATGCCCTGGGATCCTCAAGCACTGAAGCACGAGGGCGAGTCTGTCTGTACTTGGCATAGTCTGTGAATTCAGCCAGGTCCACAGCCAAGCCAGACAGATACTCCACAACCACTTCATTCGCACTCATGATGAGAGCACCCATGTCCAGCGAGGCAGACACCACCACTCCACTGTTCTTGCTGCCCTGGTGCCATAAACCCCACCCTGCCTCCACAGTCACAGAGAAGCTCCAGCGCTTCACCACAGTCACAGCAGGCCTCTGTGGGGCTTGCCTGTGCAGTCTGCTAGACGAATCCGTCTTGCCAGTTGCGGCACTGTCATTTCCCGCCTGAACCCCTGAGGATGGAGCAGAAGGCCTGCTCGACTCGTTCACGAGCTCAAGCTTGCAGCCCCGCACGTCCACCACCTTTGCCCTGGGAAGCAGCAGATCAGTGGAAGCTGGAGGGCCGTTGCTGAGGCTGAGGGAGTCGAGGCGGAGGGCGAGAGTACGATGGAGAGGCTGAGGGAGGGAGCTTAGGGAGCTGGGTCGGAATTGGATGGTCACCTGGGAGATGGAGACCTGCACGCACTGTGCTGCTCGGGAGGCAACTGTGAAAATGAGGAAGTCTTGAAATTTCTGCATGAAGGAAGGAGGAGGAGAATTGTCATCCCAGAGCAATCTGTCAATGTCTATCAGCCTCTGTCGTTGCCTGGCCCTTTTCTCTGCTTCCACCTGAGCGTCAAGCCCACGGCAATCCCTCTCAGAGGGGAACTTGCAAGAAGTCAGCTCCACATGGAACCCTCTGATTTGCAGAGAGATGTTTCTAGCGAGGAGAAAAGCCAGGAGGGGGAGTGAGAGCTCCAATGTCTCCACCTTTGCTGAATGTGCTAATACCGGGAGGTCCAGGTCATCAAGTAGCAATGGAGAGAGCTGGAGGTTCGCTATAACCAGCACGCCTCTCTTCTTAAGCTTCCAGCGAGTCTGACGCTTCGGACTTCCAGTTGCTCTGATCAGTGAATCGGCGAACGCAGATAATATCAAATCTCGGACACCAGTTAGCGTGCTCGTCATGACAACTGAAAAGGCCAGCCACCAGCTGATCGCCTGGGTCCACGCTAGCATGCGCGGTGTCAGCATCCTCCAATCCCCTTCCAGCCAGGCTCTGACCAATGAAACGGCCATGTTTCCCAGATGACCATTGCCAGCTCTGACGCTGGTAATAGGCAGGTCCAAAAGATAGCTGATGATACGATCCCATGGTAACAGGTTGTCCGTGTGAAATATGAGGACGAGCAGTAGCCATTGGATGGCAACTGGAAATAACGGCTTCAAAAGCCGCAATAAGAGAGCCATTTAAGTTCATGAATCTGAGTGAACGAACTGACAGGGGTCAGTAACGATCTTCCAAGCAGCTTTTAAATATATCCTGGAACTCAAAACACAAACAAGCAAGCATTAGAAAATAGCAAGTGTTAGCTGCTGCAGAAATGTGGTGTTTCCCCGACGTGCGGAGAATGTGTAACGAACTAGCAGGTTCCTGTCCAGAAGTTTTAGGAACACCTCGGAACCAAATTGAAATTGACTATACAGATGTCAACAATTTTGGAAGCTAAGAAAGTACCTGTCGGGTAGCATCAGTGTCGGATGCCGGGGTCTCACAGTGATCAAGATTCGCGGAAATTAGCATAACAGGGGCCAATAGCAGCAAAATGCAGGCAGTGTGTTGAGCGTTTATCATGGCGTGATGCAAAACCCGAAGCCAAGATCGACTCAACAAGTAAACCAGGACGTCATCGAGTAACCAAGCTGAACTTAATCATATTTGAATCTGCAAAACAGGAAGCCGAAAGTAACATCATCTATCATCGACTTCTAGAAACTCCGAATTTTAGGAATACCTGATTGACGACGACCCTGTTTCAGCCTGGTCCAGCAGTCATGGTGGCCGGATTAAATGAGCCCGTTAATGTTCAGTAAGGAGAGCATTAAGACTTATATGAGGTCGATCACTTGCCTCGGGTGACGTGATTCGGTAAAGCCTGAAGAGAGGAAGTAGGAACCATTAGCTGCTTGCTCGAAGCTAGAGGAAAAAAACAAGAAGTACGATATCCTGCACGTTCCAGAGTCACGACGAACTGGATATATCCAAGTTATCAGGAATGTCATGCGTGATTAACTTGAAAGAGGCTAACGAACCTAATAGTTCTCGAGTCGTCGATCCCTATCCCAAGAGTGTCTGGCTGTGCATCCTACTTCAGCCAGGACCAACGGTAGTAGGAGTCGGAATAGGAGACGCAAGCTTAGGTCACGCTTTCGTAGGAAATGGAGGAGGACAGAGAAGTCTTCGTATTAATTCCTTATTACATCCTGAATAAAGCACATTGGAAACCATTCGCAGCAAAATGCAGGCATTGCTAGAAAACGAGAATGAGGAGGATGACCAACCTAAGGAGAGTACCCAAGATCGCCGTGACGCGACACGCTGAGAGCGAAAGCCTAACGAAAGTCTGCAGCATAGGAGCTCTCAAGTATCCTTGACGGGATGATCTGATCGCTCCCTGTTCTGTGGTCTCAGTTGAAGCTGTCGAGACAAACAAGAAGAGACTCTAGTTGCAAAGTTGGGCATCAATGTTTCTGAACGAGAACCAATGACACAGCAGGACACCCATTTCATGCCATTGTCTGTGTGCAGCGGACCGTTAGTCTATGTGCGTAGCGGTAATTTCGAGGTTCCCTGATACCTGTACGCGATAGGGGAAGCAGTGGAATGGCATGGCATTTTAGTCATTTTTCTTGACTCTAAAATTTCCAATAACATTTCCATATTAGCATAATCTTCGCAAAGGAAGTTTTTTGCTCTTGAAATATTGACTTCACTACAATTTTTAGAGCGTGAAAACAAGATATTATGTACATTTTCTATAGAAAATGTTTTAGTACGTAAAATGATGTCCATATACTGTGTTCCCCCGAATAGAAGCGCAGATGCGCTTCTAATTTGTCGGGCAAAGATCAACGGTGCGCTTAAAGCTCATGCTCCAATAAAAAACACACTTTAAAGTGTAGCCCACAATGCAGGCTGTGCAACTCACACCGTTTCCAGGCGGTTCGAGTATTGAAAAAACTTGCCAATCCGTCAGCACTGAAGTGGAGCTGCATCCATGCACGTACTGCATCATGGCGGTCCAATCAGGCATGGAAGCGGCGTGCAAGAGGGACAATTGCAACATGCCTAACCTCTCGATTGGCCCGGAATATGTCAGGGACGAGATTCCTAGCCTGAGAAAAAACCTTTGCAATGAGATTTCCCTTCGTTGTGGAGGAACTCGAACCGCCGTCTCGACAGGGGTCTCTGCTCGTAATCCTTTTGCACTTTCACACTTTCATTTTGTCCCGGCAAACTGCTTATTCTCTAGTGTTTGAGCCATGGTGGGCATCCCATGAGTGGCTTTCCTGTTCGGGCTTCCACCAGACGGTCACATCATAGGGTTAGACGGTAAACATCAAGCCTAATGCCTCCTATACCCCCATGCTCCCCTGCTCCGCCGGCACCTCCTGCCTCAACTTCTCCGTCGATACCTCCTGCACCGCCAACACCAGCTGTGTTTATGAACGGTGCTCCAATTCTGACGCTTCTCCTCCCGATCCTGCGGCTTATGCGGATGACGCGGAGGCTGAGAAATGTTACGAGGCGGCTACAGATAACGCGGAAGTTGCGAGTGACGGTAATTACGCGGAGGCTGGTGTGCACGGCGATGACACAGATGCTGCGCGCGACGAGGACGGAGACGATCCTTATTGGGGAAGATCGAATAACTACTGGTGGGACGAATCTGCCGTCGGTGAAGATTATGACATGGAATACTGGTCCCGTGACGGCCTTTCTCAGCGTCTCTCGACTCCCACCTATCCCCCTGGAGATACCCACCCTTCGACCCAAAGCCGAGATGCCCACCCCCCCTCTCCTAATAATCGCCTTATTACGCGCAAGCGTCACGCATACACCACGGGATAGAAAGTGAATCATTCGTCTGGAGGCTGTCACCGACGTAAGCGATGTGGCGCGAGAGTCGGAATCTTACGAAAATGTCTGATGGGGTGGAAGAAGAAAATTGTTGACCTCAACGCTGTTGCTGCTTGTCGCAAGCACCTGCACGGGCATGGGTGAAGCTCGTGGTATCGCGACATGGAGCAGGACGTTTACACCTGGGTCATACGAGCGCGCCCCAAGGGTCTTGCGGTGAACGTATGGCGTCTCAAGTAGTGATCACGAGACGTCATGAAAGTGCTCCATCCGGATGTAAAGTGGAAGGGCTCTTACTGTTGGCCTGAGCGCTTCCGTTCCAGGTTGAATTTGTTTGACAGTAGTAAAACTGAAGTCGATAAAACAATTCTCTGACCGTAAATCTCACACTTCTTTGAAGTCGGTCCTAGGAGTTGTTGTCATGATGTCATTGCTTTCCTACCATATCGTTGGATGCTTCTCATAATCTACCATACTGACGCACTATCATGAATTCCCTTGTATGCGTTACCCACCCACACTGAGTGTGAGCCGCAAGTGCTCAAATTCTAGATATTCATTCGTTGCTCTCGATGGGCGTACGTCATCGAGGAGAAGTAGATTATCAACGCTCATCGAGGAGACCATACGATCGACGAGATCGGCACCCATTACGTCCCCATTCGAAGGGTAGGCTATCAAAGGAAGAGTATTATTGTGATGCTCGCTTGCACCGCGGTGATGCCAGGTGTGATCTCGGTCGGCTGCACGTTGGAGTTGCTGCTGCTTGACGTCGCCGTGAACAGTCGTTCAAAGTTCAATAGTACCATGAGTGGTTTGAGCAAGAAGGCATCAACAACTTTATGGCAAGGGTTGAGAACCCAAATCCTCCTTTGCTTTCATCGTGAAGCTCCCATATCCTGGTTCTTGCAACAACCTTTACCTCCTTACCCTCTTTCTCCATTTGCGTCCATGTCTCTCCTCCTCCTACCCCCCCCATCGCTTCATGCATACCATCTCTTGTCTGCACGCACGAACGGGTTCGTTCGTTTTGATTTGACAAAATGTTATTTCTGGTTTTTTTTTTTCTTCAGGAAAAAAAAAACATACTATGTATGCGCATAATGTGTATGCTGCATTTGATCCATAATCGCTTGCATTCCATGATCATTTTTATGTAAATAGAAATATCACGCACATAGTACATCATTGTTGACACCATTAGTGGCTTGATACTTTGTTGAAGTTAGGCCTACGAGGAAATGAAGTTAGGCCTAAGAAGAAGTACAGGATCTCTTCTCACTAGTACCTCAACTGTGAGAACCATCACAAGAGAGGACAACAGTCCCCAAGGTGCATTTGGTTGCCAAAGTCCACGTGTTAATAATAGAATGGCCCACGTCTTACTTCTGGGTCTCCGAGAACGGTGCCCTGCGGGGCTCCACGTCACTGGCTAACATCCTGAGGTTGTTCGGAGGCATCGAGGTTTGTGCGCCTGCGTGGCTGCAAGAGCACGTCCTAATTGGCTCGCGAAGCGCGGGCGATTCTTCGCCGCTCCAAGTGCCCGCATCGCCCTGGGAATTGCTGGCCTCACCACAGCCCTTCAACCTCCCCCACCCTCCCCCTTCCTGCCCCCTTCCCCATCCGTTCAAGCACCGCCCAGCCACAGCCGGGGAGAACTGCCTAGAGTGCGGGGCGGAAATCCACATTTCCAAGCTCAGCGCGACATCCAGGGGGAAGTGATGACAGGCTGTACTCGGACATATATTCGAACAGATTTCTTCCTAGCCAGATAATTCAGATTTTGATAACATTGAATCGTTCCACAGAAGACCTCAAGAGCCATTTGTGACTTCGATCAGCCTGTTGACGAGGTATTCACTTGCGCTAGTTTTCTAACTCGACTCAGGCTTCTATTCGCATTAGCTCTAGCGCAATGGCTTCCATCGCTGCTCACGCCTCCCTCGCGCTTCCTGCGCGTGCAATCCAGAGCAGCGCCGCACCGCAGAAGCTGCGGTCGTCAGTTCTCGGCCAACGCCTGGCCGTTACCGTTAAGAAGCACCTCGCCGCAGCCTGCCAGCGCAACACCTCCCCTAGAGCCGCTGCTGACGACGCCGCTCTTACCCTTGCTAAGGCCCTTCCTCCCGCTGCTCTTGCTTCCCTCGTCCTATCCCTCGCC